TTAGTAGGTTAAAAACAAACAACCAACCCAAACCTGTTGCTATCAAATTGATTCCAACTCATAGCAACCCCATGGGGTAGAGCAGAACTGCCCCATAGGGTTTTCAAAGAGCAACTGATAGATTCGAACTGCCAACCTTTTGGTTAGCAGCCGAACACTTAACCACTGTGCCACCAGGGCTCCCAAAGTGAGACACAATCAGTAGGTTAGTAACATTTAATTCAAAGGACTTAAAAGAATAGGTTGACTTTTACTAATTAGTCCAAATTAGTTTTTTTCATCATCATCATTTATTGTTTATTGAGGTCTATGTGGCAGGAATCAGGCACTTTCTGTACATCACATCAAATCCTCCAAACACTACTATGGAGTAATGAAATAGGTATTATTATCCCTGTTTTATAGATGAAGGCACTATCAGAAATGATAAATTATTTGATCAAAGTCATTCTGGTTATAGGCATCTGAATTTGGATTCAAAGGCAAATCTGACTCCAAACTTCCTTCTCGTAAGCATTACCCTCTGCTACATTTCAGAAAATTCATTAGACTCACACATTTTTTTTTTTTTTCAAAATATTCTAGTCAGAAGGTCATTTCAAGATTCAAGTCCCAGCTGGCACCTTGAGGCATCTCTAATTTCTTAGCTCAGCTCATTTATAATCCCCTCTGAGTCTTACTTCTCCTCACTTTCTTTAGGATTGTCACAGTTCTCTGAGATGACAGGGTAAATGATGGTGATGAGCAGGCTGGTAATAAGAAGTCCAGAAACACAGTAGATGGCCAGGAGCGGGCATGAAGAATTCACAGAGGGGTCTAAGGGGAGAGTAGCCCTAGCTGTTTCAACATCTGTGCAAAATACCAGTGTGCCTGCACACACATGCAGACCTAGTCACAGTTATCTAGAAGAAAGGACAGTTAAACGCACACAAATGCAAATGTATAGGCTTTTGTCGCCAATTTCATATGACTTAATAGTTTGGCTCTTTATCTTACACACATAAACACAGTAGACAAAGCCCTCACATAAATAAGCAGCAGGTGCACTGGTATTTTCTTGCCAAGGTATTATGCAAGCGTTAAGCTGAGCTGATCACCAGACGTGCAAATCCATCAGCTTCATTGCAGAATGTGGGAGGCGGAAGGTAGAGTTGAGCAGGGTTAAATAAAACTCATCAGGCTTTCAGAAGGGCCATTTATTGTCCAGAGAGAGGTAGAAGGTGCCCAGTAGCAAGGGTGGTGTGACTAGACTGAAAACATAAATCCACAGCCTTGAGATCTCTGAAATTTTTAAGACAGTGCAAAGTGTCCACACAAATGCAAAATACAAGAAATTGTTTTAATGCTAATAGCGTCTATCCACCTGACACTGTGCTGAGTGTTTTGCTTATATTAACACCGTATTATCACATCAAACTCACAGGACATGCATGATGCACTATTTTATTGATCCAGAAACTGAGGCTTAGAGACATGAAGTATCTTTCCTAAAATAATGCAGATGTTTTAGATATAGATAGATATTATAGGTAAAAATTTGAGTTAAATACAATGGTTCATAATAATGAACACATGCACTTCTGTGACACTCATGAAAACACTGCACAGCTTCAGCAATTCATCCAAACTGTTGTAAGAACTGTTTCTTTAATGTCTTTTTTACAGTACTGTATATCTGCACACACACACAGATTCTCTCTTCAGTACAGTACAGTATGTAGTTATTTTTATTGTTACTGTATCATTATTATGCACTATATTATTATGTTTAAGATGTTTTAGTGTATTTGGAAGTGTTTCTTAAGTGTTTTAGATACATAAAAGGTAAAATATAATACTACATACTAAGACAAACATTTGACTAACTGATGCTAAGTAAGAACCGTATATACCTGTTCTGACTTACCTACAAATTCAACTTAAAGAGAATTAGGAACGGATCTCATTCACAACCCGTGGACTACCTGTATTATAAAAAAAAAAAAAAAACGAAACTGCTATATCTCATGTATTGATGGCTGGAAACTCTTCTATTTGAAACAGATGACTTACAAGCACATACTTGTCCAGTAAAGTGCCTTTATCTATTTCTGAAAGAATCTGCTACTTGTCAAAAATTATGTCAAATACAGGTTTTGGCTGCACGATGTGAGATTACCCATTTGAACCTTTTATTATAACAAAAATTACTACTTATTTTTGTCATATTTTTAATACATCAACAAAATTCAGTTTGTTCAGCCTGGAGAATTTAAAGCATATATAACATGCTTCTCGTATTTATCCCACAATCCATTCAAACTCTAGAGCAAAATCAACTTTAAAAAATCCCAGGGCATTTCATTATGAAATTTCATATAGGATACTGGGTTGATAAGCTAATAAAAACCTCATATAACCAATTTGGTCAAAATGGGGCTTATTGTCTTAATATATGCATACTGACGCATGCTTTCACTTAATTTCTCATTGTCAGCCTTTAACCCCCACCCTATGCCTATTTTATACAACAGCAATACCGGAAACTGTATAGATCCCTGGATTCATCCTGATATTTCATCTTTCTTTTCTGCACCTTTGTTCAATCTGTTCTCTCATTATTTCTGTATTTGAATGCTCAATTCCTAGCTCTACTCTGGGATTCAATCTGGTCCTCAGAACTTCTGCACACCTTCTCTGACTTCTCCAGCTGGGTTAAGTATCCATTACAAATGTTTCAAGAGCATCCAGGGCATGCTATTATTTTCGTCACAGTTTAGTTGTGGCAATAATAGTAGGAGGGTTGTATTATTAGTAATTCAGCGGTATAGCGGCACCAGCAGTAGTAGCAGTAATAATAATACTAATACCTGCACTGTCATTACCAATAGCAACAGCAATTATCATGTACTGAGCACCTGCTATGTGTAGGCAGGGTACCTGAGACTTTATATATATTCATTCTAATCTACTAAAGATACATTAATTGGCATGAATTTATTCCCCCCACTTTACAACCGAAGGAAACTGAATTTCTTTTCATTCCTCCTTCATCTGTGGCTATTTCTCCCTTACTATTTCTTATTTTCTGCTTTCACTCCCCCCTCTTTTCCTTGGTGTGAGTTTAGCTGTATATTTATTTAACTTAGAGTAATCATCTGGATTTATATTCATTCTGCTTTTTTCTGTTCTCTAAATCATTTATTTCTGATTTTGTCTTTACTAGTTTCATTCTTCTGCTTTCTTTCCTTTTTCTTGCTTTTTTTCCTTTATTTTTTTCCCAGTGCCATTGAGTTGATTCCAATTCATGGTGCCCCCATGTGTGCCAGAGTAGACCTGTGCTCCATAGGGTTTTCAGTGGCTGATTTTTCCGAAATGGATCACCAGGTCTTTCTTCCAAGATGAGTGGCCTTGAACCCCCAACCTTTTGTTTAGCAGCTGAGCATGTTAACTGTTAGCCCCACTCAGTATTTTATTGTTTCTTTGCTAACAGTTTGATTCCAGATGCTTAACTAATTTTCTCTTCATTTAATTAATACAAGTATTTAAGCTATGCATTTTTCTGTGAGCAATGCTTTACCTGTTCCTAGAGATCTAAATCCATATTTTATCAACTCAGAAACACAATTTTCTAAATCATTTTAACTCTAAAGTGTAATGTATCTTAGAATCAAAGGGTGCCTTGATGGAAAGGTGAATCACATGCATCCATTAGGACATTAAGCTCCATTTGATCAATTTCCAAATGTATCAGTCAGGCTGCAGCTCTGATACAGCTGTCACTTTTGGAGCCTGCATCAACATGAGACTCTGGCAATTGATCCTCCTGGCATCACGTCAGTTGAGTTATATGCATTGTTTGTGATACAAGAGCTGAGTTTAGTTGTTGTTTAAAATATCTTCATTTTGTTGATCCAAAAAATTCTACTGGTACTTTTGAAGAAAATCAAGAAAGCACAACTGTCAAAACTTTCAAAATGGGTGTCAGGGGCTTGGAAGAAAATTCTGGAGATAATAGTGGAAATCTCTTAAATTATGCTGAACCACAAATACACCTGATGGTACAGTGGAAGACAGTGTGTGGAAAGGTCCCAAGGGATAAGAAAGATTTGAATCATCATTTACTGGCTGAATTTCTTTTTCTTAAACCTCATAAAGTATCCATGCATCTTACAACTGATGGTGCTTTACATTTGATGAAGTATCACATTTGATGTCTTTAAGATTATGTTATGACTTACAATTTTGTTTTCATTTCCATTTCAATCCATTTCTCTTTAAGAAAGGACTTTTAAATTTCCAGGGTATAGTGGATTTTGCTTTCTAGTTTTGCTTTTATTTCCAGCTTTATTTTATAGAGATCATGGAATGTTTTCTGTGTTATTTATATATGTTTTTCAAATCTATTGAGGTTTCTTGTGGCCCTAATAAGTGACCAGATTAGTCAATGTATCATGGGCATTTGAAAACAAGTTGTTTTCCCTCTTATACAATTTTAAGAGACTGCTGATGTCTTTTAATTTAAATGTGACTATAAATAAAATAAGACTCTGTAATCCTAGTAGACGTTATAGTTTGAAAGAAAAAGAGAAGATTTGAAGGGGACTGACCATCTTCAGTAGTTAAAAGTGGACACTCAAACCAGGAACCAAAGACAGAGGATGTTCTTCTTAAGGAGCTAAATAAAATGAATCAGGGCCAACAGTAGATAAGACTAAATTTGAGGGTGGAATCAGAAAGAAGTGTCTCTAAAACAGAATAAAGCTGTATATCCTGTCTACCTACAATCTCCCTGTTTGTCTTACTTCAGTATTACCTGTATTTCCTAGCATTTCTGTCATTTCTGAGAATTTGAGAAATATCTTTAATATTATAAACCTAATAACTTTCTTTAAATTTATTTTAAATCAATTCACTGTTTACATAGCATTGCTGTAAGCAATAATATTCAGGAAAAAATGAAAGGATAAAATGTGTGTGTCATGAAATACGTTTCACAAAAAAATGTTGTCTATGTATCTCCTTAGATCAAGAAGCAACCATTCATTCCCCTTTGGCCCTCTCAGCAGCACCATGGCGGTCAGCAAAAACAAGCGCCTTACAAAAAGTGGCAAAAAAGGAGCCAAGAAGAAAGTGGTTGATCCATTTTCTAAGAAAGATTGGTATGATGTGAAAGCACCAGCTATGTTCAATATAAGAAATATTGGGAAAACACTAGCCACAAGAACTCAAGGAACAAAAACTGCATCTGATGGCCTCAAGGGTTGTGTTTTTGAAGTAAGCCTTGCCAATCTGCAGAACGATGAAGCTGCACTTAGAAAATTCAAGCTAATTACTGAGATGTTTAGTGCAAAAACTGCCTGACCAACTTCCATGGCATGGATCTTACCCATGACAAAATGTGTTCCATGGTCAAAAAATGGCAGACCATGACTGAAGCTCATGTTAATGTCAAGACTACCAATGGTTATTTGCTTTGTCTGGTCTGTGTTGGTTTTACTAAAAAAATGCAACAATCAGATTCAGAAGATGTCTTATGCTCAGCACCAACAGGTCCACCAAATCCGCAAGAAAATGATGGAAATCATGACCAAAGAGGTGCAGACAAATGACTTAAAAGAAGTGATCAATAAATTGATTCCAATAAGCATTGGGAAAGAAATAGAAAAGGCTTGCCAATCTATTTATCCTCTCTATGATGTGTTTGTTAGAAAAGTAAAAATGCTGAAGAGGCCCAAGTTTGAACTGGAAAAACTCCTGGAGCTTCACGGTGAAGGTGGTAGTTCTGGAAAAGCCACCAGAGATGGGACAGGTGCTAAAGTTGAATGAGCTGATGGCTATGAGCTACCTGTTCAAGAATCAGTTTAAAATTCAGATTTTTACGGGTGACAAATAAAAGATCTTATTTGTGGAAAAAAAGAAAAAAAAGGAAGAAACTATTCAAAAAGAACAAGGGGGCACTGCATGGTTTAAAATCAGAAAAGTGTGTGGCATGGCTGTATCCTTTCACCATACTTATTCAATCTGTATGCTGAGCAAATAATCTGAGAAGCTGGTCTATATGAAAAGAATTTGGTATTAGGATTGGAGGAAGACTCATTAACAACCTGCAATATGCAGATGACACAATCTTGCTTGCTGAAAGTGAAGAAGACTTGAAGCATTTACTGATGAACATCAAAGACTATATATCCTTAAATATGTATTGTTACCTCAACATAAAGAAAACAAAAATCCTCACTACTGGATCAATAAACAACATTATGAAAAATGAAGAAACTGAAGTTGTCAAGGATGTCATTCCTCTTGGATCAACAATCAACGCCCAAGGAAGCAATATGCAAACTATGTATTGCATTGGGCAAATCTACTCCAAAAGACATTTTTAAAGTGCTAAAAAGCAAAGATGTACCTTGATGACTAAGATGGCCTGACCCAAGCCATGGTGTTTTCAATTGCTTCATAAGCATGTGAAAGCTGGATAATGAAAAAGAAGACCAAAGAAGAATTGATGCTTTTAAATTATGTTTTTTGCAAAGAATATTGAATATACCATGGACTGCCAGAAGAACTAACAAATTTGTCTTGGAGAAAGCACAGTCAGAACGCTCCTTTGAAGCAAGGGCGGCAAGACTTTGTCTCGCTTACTTTGGACATGTTATAAGGAGGGACCAACCCTTCAAGAAGGACATCATGCTGGATAAAGTAGAGAGTCAATGAAAAAGAAGAACACCTTCAATGAGATGAACTGACCCAGTGGCTCCAACAACGGGCTCAAACATATCAATTATTATAAGGATGGCTCAGGGCTCAGCAATGGTTCGCTCCAGTATACACAGTGCCACTATGAGTAGGAGCAGGCTTGATGGCACCTGGTTGCTACGAGTCAGAATAGACTCGACTGCAGTGGGTTTGGTTTTGGATTTAACCACAATATTATCTCCTAGAATAATTGCACTTATCTTTGTGTACAACATCTTGACAAACATTGACTAATCCATAAACGTTTTATACTTTACTGAGTCTGGCACCTGTGGTATTGCCCTCAAGCTACTAGCAGGGAGGTGACTCACTGAAGTGATACCTTAGCAGCCCTAGGACTTGAACTATAAAAACCAAACCAAAATCTCTTGCCTTCAAGTTGATTCACACTCACAGTGATCCCACGGGACAGAGTAGACTTGTCCCATAGGGTTTCAAAGGCTGCAATCTTTACAGAAGCAGACTGCCACATCTTTATCTCGCAGAGCAGCCAGCCTTTTGTTAACAACCAAATGCTTAACCACTGTACCACCAGGGCTCCTGTACTGGAAGTGTAAGTCACCTAAAATAAGTAGAGTTAAGTATACAAGAGGCTAGGGATGTGATGTTTGTTGAATGAAGAGTTGAAGATGATTTTTATTTTGAGGAGATTTAGGGGAAAAATCATCATACTGTTTTGAATTATAGTTGATACTTTCTACATTGTTGTTGTTAAGTGTCGTCAAGCCGGTTCCAACTCATAGTGACAATAGGTATAAAGGAACGAAACACTGCCCAGTCCTGCATCATTCTCATAATCATTGCTATGTTTGAGCCCATTTGTTGCAGCCACTGGGTCAATCCACCTTGTTGAGGGTCTTCCTCTTTTTTGTTGACTCTCTAATTTACCAAGCATGATGTCCTTCTCCACCTGCTGGTCCCTCCTGATAATAAGCTCAAAGTACGTGAGACAATGTCTCGCCATCCTTGCTTCTAGGGAGCATTCTGGCTGTACTTCTTCCAAGACAGATTTGTTCATTCTTCTGGCAGTCTATGGTATATTCAATATTCTTTGCCAACACCATAATTCAAAGGCATCAATTCTTCAGTCTTCCTTATTCATCGTCCAGGTTTCACACGCATATGAGGTGACTAAAAATACCATGGCCTGGGTCAGGTGCATCTTAATCCTCAAAGTGACATCTTTGATTTTTAACACTTTAAAGAGTTCTTTTGAAGCAGATTTGCCCAATGCAATATGTCTTTTGATTTCTTGACTGTTGCTTCCATGGGCATTGATTGTGGATCCAAGTAAAATGAAATCCTTGACAACTTCAATATTTTCTCCATTTATCATGATATTGCTTGTTGGTCCAGTTTGAGGTATTTGTTTTCTTTATGTTGAGGTGTAACCCATATTGAAGGTTGTGGTCTTTGATCTTCATCAGTAAGTGTTTCATGTCCTCTTTGCTTTCAGCAAGCAAAGTTGTGTCATCTGCATAACACAGGTTGTTGTCGATGAGTCTTCCTCCAAACCTGATGTCGTGTTCTTCTTCATGTAGTCCAGCTTCTCAGATTATTTGTTCAGCATACAGATTGAATACATACGGTGAAAGGATACAACCCTGACACACACCTTCTCTGATTTTAAAACATGCAGTACTGCTGGTGGGAATGCATACTGATACAACCATTTTGGAAAATGATATGGCACTTCTTTTGAAAGCTAGAAATAGACATACCATACCATCCAGCAATCCCAGTCCTAGGAATATATCCTAGAGATATGAGAGCCGTCACATGAATAGACATATGCACACCCATTTCACTGCAGCATTGTTCACAATAGCAAAAAGATGGAAACAACCTAGATGCCCATCAACAGATGAATGGATAAACAAACTATGGTACATACACACAATGGAGTACTATGCAACGAGAAAGAACAATGATGAATCTGTGAAGCATCTCATAACATGGATGAAACTGGAGGACATTATGCTGAGTGAAATAAGTCAATCACAAAAGGACAAATATTGTATGAGACCTCTATTGTAAAAACTCACGAAAAAGTTTACACACAAAAAGTAACAATCTTTGTTGGTTACCAGGGATGGGAGGGGTGGGGGGAAAATACTAAATAGAAAATAGATAAGTTGTAACTTTGGTGAAGGGTAAGACAGTACACAGTACTGGGGAAGCCAGCACAACTTGTACAAGGAAAGGTCATGGAAGCTCCATAGATACATCCGAACTCCCTGAGGGACTGAATTGCTGGGCGGAGGGCTGTGGGACCATGGTCTCGGGGAACATCTAGCTCATTTGGCATAACACAGTTTATAAAGACAATGTTCTACGTTCTACCTTGGTGAGTAGCGTCTGAGGTCTTAAAAGCCTGTGAGCAGCCATCTAAGATACTCTACTGGTCTCAACCCTTTGGGAGCAAGGGAGAATGAAGAGAACAGGATACAAAGAAAAGATTAGTCCAAAGGACTAATGGACTACATCTACCAAGGCCTCCACCAGACTGAGTCCAGTATAGCTAGATGGTGCCCAGCTACTACCACTGACTGCTCTGACCAGGGATCACAACAGAGGGCTCTGGACAGCTGGAGAAGGATGTAGAACAAAATTCTAACACAAAAAAAAAGACAAGATTTACTGGCCTGACAGAGACTAGAGAAACCCCGAGAGTATGGCCCCTGGACACCCTTTTAGCTCAGTGGTGAAATCACTCCCGAGGTTCACCATTCAGCTGGGGATTGGACAGCCCCATCAAACAAAACGGGACTAATGAGGCACAGCAGTCCAGGGACAAGGACTAGAAGGCAGGAGGGGGCAGGAAAGCTGGTGATAGGGAACCCAAGGCTGAGTAAGGACAATGTTGACATGTAGTGGGGTTGTTAACCACTGTCACAGGGCAATATGTGTACTAACTGTTTAATGAGAAACTATTTTGTTCTGTAAACCTTCATCTAAAGTGAGAACAGCAGCACAACTGAAGAATGTAATTGATGTCACTGAATTGTACATGTAGAAATTTTTGAAATGGTGTATCTTTGGCTATGCACATTTTCATCAAAAAACAAAACAAAACAGGTCCTCCAAGGTCGAGAAGGGAGAGTGTTGACATGTCGTGGGGTTGTTAACCAATGTCATAAAACAGTATGTGTACTGACTGTTTAATGAGAAAGTATTTGTTCTGTAAAGCTTCACCTAAAGTACAATAAAAAATAAAAATTAAAAAAAAAAAAGTGCAGTATCCTCTTGTTCTGTTCAAATGACTACCTTTTGGTCTATGTACAGGTTCTGCATAGGCACAATTAAATGTTCTGGAATTTCCATTCTTCGTAATGTTATCCATAATTTGTTATGATCCACACAGTCACATGCCTTTGCATACTCAATAAAACACAGGTAAACAGCTTTCTGGTATTCTCTGCTTTCAGCCAAGTTCCATTTGACATCAGCAATGATATCCCTCATTCCACGTCCTCTTCTGAATCCAGCTTGAATTTCTGGCAGTCCCTCTCAATGTACTGCTGCAACCATTTTTGAATTATCTTCAGCAAAATTTTACTTGTATGTGGTATTAATGATATTGTTCAATGATTTCCACATTCTGTTGGATCACCTTTCTCTGGAATGGGAACAAATATGGTTCTCTTCCAGTTGGCTAGCTAGGTAGCTATATTCCAAATTTTTTGGCATAGATTAGTGAGATCTGCCAGCATTGCATCCATTTGTTGAAACATCTCAACTGGCTGCTATTGAGTCGATTTCAACTCATAGCACCTTACAGGAAAGAGCAGAACTGTCCCACAGGGTTTTCAAGGAGCAGCTAATGGATTGGAACTGTCAACCTTTTGGTTATCATTCAAGCTCTTAACCACTGGGCCACCAGGGCTCCATTTCTACATTAGGGATCAGATTTTCAAGAATCTATGTATTGCTTATACCCAAGGAACAATCTGTCTATTGAAAGAAAATGATGTCCAATAACTTGCTTTTTTTGTTTGTTTTTCTGTAGCTTACTTCTCAGTATTTAGTCAGGCATAAGTTGTTTTCTATTATTTACACAATTTTAT